TCGAAAGCCTAATCATTAATTTGCTCTCAAATATATATTAATATTATTACAAATTCCGGTTCGAGATTCTAACATGTTTATTCTCAATAATCACGAACATACCTCGTGATCGTGACTTTGCTAAAACACGTTCCCTTAACAGGATGTTCGCACTGTCCGAACGGTTTCTGCTGGACAGCGCAGTTCTGTCAGAGAACAGAGAAGCCCGATTGTCACGAACAGTGCTTAGGCGAGTGTCACGGGCCTACGGAGAGCGAGTGTTACGTGTGCAAGCACTATCGACACGAGGGTAAATGCATTGAAGCCTGTCCTAAAGATCTGTGAGTATTCCTTATACAATTATTCTACAGGCTCTCGTTATTCGTCGCTTTCTCACGATCTTTTTTCACAGATACGCGTATTTGTCGAGACGGTGTATCACGAAGGAAGAATGCTTGCGAATGAACAACCCGAGAAGAAAATTTTACATGCCGGATGAAGGGTATTGGAGACCGTTCAATGGATCGTGCGTGACACATTGTCCGGAAGGCTACGAGGATGATAACAACGTAAGTAGAATATCTTAATTTCTATTGAGATAACGATTTCTACTCATTGGCTTTTGTTTCTTTAATTGAATGAGTAGATATTCGAAGCATTTTCTGTAATTCTTCAAATCATATTTAACACTAGAAAGACTGAAACTTAGTATGTACCTATATTGCCCAAAGCAGTAAAAATGACTGCATTGTGAAAGAATAATGTGTAAAGAAATTTGTCTAAAATTAATTTTTAATATTTTTTATATTATTTACAGTCATATAACAAGTTATTAGTAAATGTTAACAATAAATAAAATTTACTTCGTTTGGGAAAAAAAATAATTTATGCATTATTATTTGTACATTTGCCCAAAAGCAGTCAAAATTACTTCCTTGGGCAATCTAGTGTTAATTCAGTTAATTGGTCTCCTAATTAAATGGACGAGCGAAACGAATGGATAAGTGGACCCGTCGCGTTTAAATCAGAATTTAATAGCGAGAGAGAGAGAGAGAGAGAGAGAGAGAGAGAGAGATAGAGAGACAAACGATTTATTAGCACAAAGAGAGAGCGTTAAAATGCTAAATTGGCAATTACGAAACAGGATCTTCCTGCTCCAGGAAATCGATAAATAAAAGAGAGTTAATATTATTCTGTTAATTAAGTCTGACATTTACATCCATCAATATTATGTTACGAAACGATGATTAATTTTAATTACAGAGTACCACCTGTCGCTCCTGCGTGGAATGTCGAAAGGTGGGCCACGGAGGCCTGATTCGTCACATTTCCGAGGCGCAAAGCTTCCGCGGTATAACCGTAGTGCAGGGCGCGCTCGAGTTCCAAATATGGAACGGGAATCCGAACATAATGAACGAGTTAACCGAAGCGTTCGGCCGGATCGAGGAGATCACCGAATACCTAAAGATCACCCACTCGTTCCCGATCACTTCGCTGTCGTTCTTCAAAAGATTGAGAGTAATCAAGGGACAGAAGTTGGACATCAACAACGCCAGCTTATCAGTTCTCGACAATCCTAATCTCTCGAGCTTGTTCTCGCCGGAACAGAAGATCAGAATCGAGAACGGCCGACTGTTCTTCCATTACAATCCCAAATTGTGTCTATCGAAAATTCAACAGCTCAGCAGAATGGCGAACATATCGAATTACACCGATTTGGAAGTGCAGCCGCAGTCTAACGGCGAGAAAGTCGCTTGCGACATAGTGAATATAAACATAACGGTGCAGAACCTAGGCCCGGATTACGCAGATCTAGTCTGGGACAGTTACAAGCCATCGGAGGGACAACAGCTTCTCAGCTACCTGTTGAATTACATCGAGACGGACAACGAGAACATTACGTACGAGATGAACGCCTGCGGTGGGTTCAACACCTGGCAGGTAGTCGATGTCGACATACCGAAATGGAACACGACTGTTTCCAAACACATAGACAATCTGAAGCCTTATACTATGTACGCGGTGTACGTGAAAACGTTCAACGCGAAAAAAGCGAACTTCCTAAATAATACTGTGGGCCAGTCGAGAATTATATTCTTCAAGACTAAAAGCACTATCCCTACGCCGCCGCAAAACGTGGCATCGAAGCCAGTGAGCGACACGGATATTCTCATCAAATGGGAACCACCTTTGTATCCCAACGGACCGATAGGATACTACATGATCTCCAGTACTCGAGTTTACGAGGACGATAATCTGATATCTTTCCGCGACTATTGCAACGACACCCTAGAAACCGAGATAGAGAACGAGGAAGTGATACCGGAAGTGACCATCAAGATTCCGACGACGGACGACGACGATTCCTGCTGCCCGAAGGACGTCAGTAATGTCAAAACTGTCTCGAAGCAATTCGAGATCTTCTGCCACGAGAACATGACCGTCAGCTACATATCACCGGGCTGGAAGGATTACTGCATCTACAACAACTTCAACTCCGTGGAGAACCGATTCCACGAAATAACCAACAACCTGTCGACCTCTCGACCAAAGAACGCCGTCCAAGTCGACGAGACCGCGTTCACTGGGAACTTCGGCCACGAAAATACAATCGCGTACAACGTCAGCGCGGAGAACAACTCGTTCGTGATCAAGAATCTGCGTCACTATACGAGATACATAATCAGCGTGACGGCATGCGGTGTAAAAGTCGACGAGTCCAACATGTGCTCGTCGATTCAGTACACGAACGCCAGAACCAAGAAAAAAGAGCACGCGGACGACGTGAAGAATGTGGAGGTTCACGTGACGAACAACACGATCGTCCAGGTATCCTGGGACTTGGTGAAAGACCCGAACGCTCTCACCGTGTCTTACACGATCGAGTACACGAATCTCGACGTGAAGAACGCGAAAAAGAGCAGCGAGTGTATCGCGCGGACTGGACCAAAGGACATGGTGAACAGTTATTTCATTAGAAACCTGAGTCCTGGTAAATACAGCCTGCGAATGAGATCTACGTCGTTGGCCGGCGACGGATCATTTTCGGAGGTCGTTTATTTCTCAATAGGCATAACCAGCGCGACGCCGTTTACTCTCATAACGTTGCTGACCCTCGCAGTTCTGTCCATAATACTGATAATACTGTTCTTGGTGCTGAGGAGCCATCGGAAAAGGAAACAGCAAGAGAGACTGATCGCCAGCGTGAATCCGGATTACATAGAGACCAAGTATGTAATCGACGAATGGGAGGTACCTATGGAGAGCGTTGAAATCTTGGAAGAGCTCGGCTTAGGCAATTTCGGCATGGTGTATCGCGGCGTTTACGACAAAACGACGGCAGTCGCTATCAAGACCATCTCGAATACAGCGAGCCAGAGAGAGAAGAACGAGTTCTTGAACGAAGCATCGGTAATGAAAAACTTCTCGACTTTCCACATAATCAGACTGATCGGCGTCGTGTCCATCGAGAATCCTCCGTTCGTCGTAATGGAATTAATGGAGAACGGAGACTTGAAAACGTATTTGCGACGCATACGTGACACTCATCTCGTACCAAACGCATGTAGAATCATGAGAATGGCAGCTGAAATAGCTGACGGAATGGCATACTTGGAATCGAAGAAGTACGTTCACCGAGACTTGGCCGCTCGAAATTGCATGGTATCGAAGGACCTCGTGTGTAAAATCGGTGACTTTGGAATGGCCAGGGACGTTTACGAGACGGACTATTATAAAATCGGTCGGAAAGGACTGTTACCGATCAGATGGATGGCACCGGAGAATCTCTCTGACGGAGTTTTTACATCAGATTCAGACGTATGGTCGTTCGGTGTCGTCCTGTACGAAATCTTGACCCTCGCCGAGATGCCGTACCAAGGTTTCTCCAACGAAGACGTGCTCAGACACGTGTTACGCAAAGGAACGTTGAACATACCGAGAAATTGCCCGGAGAACATCCATAAAATTATGGAAAAGTGCTTTAAATGGCGACCCAGCGATCGTCCCACGTTCATGGAGATCGTGGGCGAGCTGGAGCCGTTCCTGGGACAAGACTTCTACGAGAAGTCGTTCTACCATTCGATGGAGGGTGTCGAGAGTCGTAATTCGGGTATAAAGAAGCCGTACCATCACGCGGCGCCCGTCAGATTTCATTGGGGCAACGAAACGGCCAGGTGGGTCAAAGAATTCGAGGACAACGTGACGCTGTTGGATCAGACGAAAGCTGGGACCAGCAGGGGACGGATATTCAAGAACGGTTTCCAGCATTTCGGTAACGTAGCCAACATGGAAGACGTATCGCTCGATCGATGAGAATGTTCAACGTTTTAATACGTAAGGACGTAGCTTCCGGTAAGTCAGAGACTCGTTTAAACGCGATGTACAAAGGATACTCAGGGCAATGAATTGCGAACGGTAGGTCTGACGAGTCCTACGGACGGAAACAGGCCACCGGTCCCGATTTTATTTTCTGTATTTCTTGCCATTCGGATTAATTGACAACTACGAGTGAAGGGCTCGTACATCGGTGCTCGGTCGATAATTCTGATTAACTGCGACTGTTAATTTTCGGGCATGCAAGCTTACGATATGCGTACATATTAACCAAAAGCGAGTACAGAGAATCGACGGTGTTTTTTTTCCTAAATAGCGTAACCAAAAGTTCTTAGCGTGTCACCTACGCAAAGCGTACTTTGCATTCCTTGGAAGGATTGTATTTTAAGCGTATATTCCTCTCTCTTTCTCTCTCTCTTTCTAAGATAGTTTTTACGAATTGTAATCTCGCAAAGGACTGATTAATTATGTGTGCTAGGTACAAAATTGTAGATTACATCGGACTTTTATATTATTTCGAAAACGTCGATCAGAAGAGAGAAATATCTTAGGTACTCGTTCTACTGGCTGATCGAAATTACATAGTTCGTCGAATCGTCAAGTTAAATTGTACATATCTACCGAGATTCTGCGTTAAGGGTGCAAGTCTTAGCAATACGCATTCGAGAAAAATTCTCCCAGATTCGACATTATAATACATAAAGAGGAGACCGAGGAACGTGAATTTCAATGTGTCTCACATATGTGCAGTACATGTCTTTGTATTTCTTGGGTCATTGCATTACACGCACATTACGACATATATGAGACACGTAAAAATCTATATCCCAGCTTGCCCAAAAATCAGTATTCGTTCCCATATTTTCCTGTTAGATCATTTACCCTAGCCACTCTGCTTTAAACACTTCCTACTCTAACTGTGTCACGTTCAACTAAGAGCAGCTGCATTGATCCCAAAGTGTGTTCACATAAGACGAAGCTTGCCGGAAATCGGCAGGGGAAGGAAGGAAGGAAGGAAGGAAGGAAGGAAGGAAGGAGGATGACTTATTGTTAGGCCTTAGATAATCGTGTAGTTGAAAATTCAATACACGAACACAGTTGTTGCAAAATGTATTCACACAACACTAAATCACAATATTCCCTTAAGAAAACCGTGTGAAAAATAATTCATGCAATCGTGTCGACGAAACTTCGACTTAACATCGTGACATAAAATCGTGTAACAGTACAGTCAGGTGTATAAAATAATTCATTCGGTGCAACATGCGACCCAGAAACTGAACCATTGGCAATTAATACCTTTCGCAACGACTGAATATATCAGAGTTCCTTGTAGTATGCGGAACTTGAAAGTGCGCATACGCATTTGATAAATAACCGGTTATTTAAATATCTGATCGACCGTCTATTAAGAGATCCTGTAATGCAACCTTTGCCGTTACCCAAATAAGTAAGGTAGGAACGAAGACTGCAAAGAAGCGGCATCACTCCCATAGTGCACGCATGCACTCTACTTACAGAGAACAGAAGCACTTGCAATAAGCATGGCAACAATCCTTTTGCAATAAGTAAATACCTAATTATTAACCGGCATATTATGCAAAATAATTAAGCGTGTATAATAGCGTAACGAAAACAGAGGGATGCAGTTCGTTATGTTCCCTTGTAAGAGACAGAAAGAGTATATTTTATTGTAACAATATATCCTATAGAATGTATATGTGTAGGCAACGCGTAGAGACAGTCGTATAGTTTTTCGTATGCATACTTCTTAACGCGACGTACGTAAGGACAGAAATTAGGCGAGAGAGAACAGAGAGAAAAAATGTCGAAGCAGAACTGATAAAACGTGAGTCGGAGAAAGACTTTAACAGATTGCCTACCAAGGAGAGCCGAGCATTTCATTTCAATGCTCGATAAAAAATTGACAAGCTTTCAGAAACAATGCAGAGTTACGAAAAAATTAGCCTTCTTATAGAGATAGATAGTAATTAATAATTTTCCTGTTATTCAAACGAAAGATCAATCGTATAGCCGGTGTTTATTACTGAGTCATCACATTACGTAGACTGAGAAACAGAAATATTCAGGCACGAATTATTTCATTTACCTGGATTGATTATCTATAAAGCGATTGAGTATAACTAATACACATTATCATTTAAGTAGATTCTTACGTTCAGTGTACATATATATGTAAATATTTAACTTATTACGTTTTCGATTTCATATTTAATACTAGGATTTTATCACTAATTGTCCTATCGTACAACTAATAGAAGTTCCATTAATTTAGAGACACTATCATATCGATTTCGTAAACGATAATACATAAAAGATTGCTTCTACTGTTAATTCAGAAATTTTTAAGTTAAGAACAATTGATACTGATCCTAGTAATCATTTTAAGTTAATTCGTGCCACTATCATATTTTTTCTGCACGAAGTCTTCACGAAGGCATCTCCTCAGATGCCTCCATGATTCTTCACGACACATGCCTCGAAGAAAGTTTCACCGCTTTAACGGTCCAAACATGCCTCTTCTATGTACGTACCAGGCTTCGTGTACATAAATAGATTTGATAGCAAGAAGATACAGGGTGCACAAGCTCAGACGATTAAATGAGCCCTGACTTAATTCGTTTCGTAGGCAGATTAAACTCTAATTTACGATTTCTATGTACATAGTTGACTAGTTGATATATAATTATAGGTGATTGATTAGTTTTCCAGCGAGACGAATCATATTAAAAGAATGGACCATCTTTCGATGCCACGATTCGATGCTCTTGGAAAGGAACAAGAAATCTAATGGCGCATGTAGAGATACGAGTTAATTATTTAAGACAAGACTAAGAATTGATATCAAGGTGCATCTTAATTTCCAGTGATTTCCCTAACAAATTTTATTAATTCTCAGTTTCTTAATTTCAAAACGAGAATCCGAATAATTCTAAAAATGCAAATCTTGTCGCAATTATTATTTCTGACAAGACTAAGAATTGATATCAAGAAAATGTAATTTAATTTCGAATAATTATTGATTTCCTTGATAAGCTGAGTTTCCTAATTCCAAAACAAGAATCACAATACTTTTTAAAATCTTATACTTTCATAAAAAATAATTTCATTTTCATTCATTAAATCAGTATTGTTCCTTGTTACTCGATTATTTTTATGAATTTTCCTAATGTGCTTAAGCGAATTAATTAAATTATAAGTCAGATTCTAGTTACGTTACCAGTTGCGTTTTACAAGATGCACATGAATTACACATGAGAAAAAGAACGCGAGCTGCATGCTAACGGAATTTCGATGGACTGAATCTGAAAGCTTAGGTTTAAGGTATCACGTTTTGAAGCTCGAAATTCAAACGATTCGTTATACGATGAATACTACCAGGAATTGAAGGGTTTTATAATCCCCTATATAACACATGCACATAATTCGATTTCCATTCCGATCCCATTATTAACTGCAAATAGTAGAAACTGATTAATCGTAGTCTCACTCACAGAATCGAGAAATTAAAAATGATTTCTCTATTCGTACATGATACTTAACCAAAACCAACAAGAGACGTTCAATACTTGTTGGCTCCCAATGTATAGAATGAGAAAATGAGGAAGATTGGGAGACATAGTCCTATATTTTATACAGACCATGTTACCTTAAGAAGACAAGTTATACTAATTCTAAGTAAGAAAGGTTATTCTATCTATATAAAATAACTCATTCAACCAGCGTGCAACTATTTAAATAATTCCGATTGTGTTTTTCCTGTTTATTTAAGAATACCGTACGGATACTCCCTTACGATTTTTATTACTATTAATTTTATGAATCCCGCACGTCTAAATTCCAATAGAATTCATTTGAAAAACAACATATTGGTAAAACATTCCTTAAGATTTTTAAGTTTCAAGATTCGAACAGATAATATAATATTAACGTATAAAATAAAACAGCCATTGGAATTGAAACGTGCATTAATTTTCACGTGGGAACCTATTCGCAGTATACCCAGTTTACATGTTAAGTAGGAAATAAGTTATTCGTTTAATGTAAGATAGCAAGAGATGCTACGTCGTAGCAAATGTCGATGATTTTTCGTTTACACACTCGAAGCAATAGAAAATAGCGATAAAGGAAATAAGACGATTTTCCTCTTTCCATATAAGCGAACTTCTTGCTACTTGATTTATGAATACATATACATATATAAAATAATAATACATAAGATTAGAGAAAGGAATCTCAGTTTTGAACCTCGGGTACTTTCGCGTACCATAATTTATTATTGACGACTTGGACCCTTGGAAAACTCGGTTTTTCAAAATCCTTCGATATTTCAAAGTGCTCTCTCGGAATAATTATTGGATACGTATTAACAATAAGAGATATCACCTAATTGTGTTGCAACTATTCCAATTGAAACTGATTGGAGTTTATACAGTGTGATTTACCAGATTTTACCACCTGGATTTTCGTCGTAATTTTTATACACAGCAAAGAATAAATGATATTGAATCCTTTTAAAAAAAAATGATTGATGACCTTCATATCTCTACTACGTGTCTACCTACGAACTAGCTTGAAACACCAGAACGTGCCTCTCTCAAAACCATTCAACATTGCCTATGAACATTCTTTGCTGCTTACATGAATAACGATGAAAATCGAGGTGGTAACCTGGTGGACCACCGTGTATAAAATAAGATGAAGGGCATATGAAGATTTCTGAAATTCCGAGTACGATCGACTGTAAGGAGAAACCAAAATCCAGACGTCTCTTTAAGAAACATTATTCTTACTCATAAAGCTCCTGCCACGCTGTGTCTTCCAAGACAGAGACTACATAATGAATTGTTTTAATATTTATACACGGTCGTACGCCATTATCCATGTTATTGATCCAAAGAAATAATTATAACGTCAAATTTAAGAGAAACAAATTCGATCCAATAAAATTGACATTTGGAAAAAATTTGATAATGGAGACCGTACCTTTGTTAACCCATAATGAGTTAAGTCGTCGTCCTCACCCCTAGCGAAAAGATAAACAAGAGTATTATTATTAAGAATGAATGGAAAAATGAATACACGAATCGATTTTTGTTAGAACGATGCACGTGTGAGTAAATGAAACGTCGTATGATTACGGAGAATTTTAACGTACATAAGTGTAAAAGTTAAGACATATAAAAATCGAAAGTGGTTCTGAGAACTCGAAAACGTCGTACCTCGATTAATTCGAATTAGACCACTGCGTTATTTAATTAATTAGACATTTACTTTTATTCGATACATAAGCTTTGAATGTAATTTGAAACGAAAATACTAATTATATGTTGTTTGTTGCTATATTTAATGGTTACTGTTTTTATTCAAGGAGAATTGGTACTTGTTGGTAAAATGGACAAGTTTGAGTATTTCATATCGTATTATTAATGAGAGTTTCAGA